GGGGGGGGGGGGGGGGCGCGTTGAGGAAAAAGAGGAGCAGGAACGATGGAGGGAAAGGACGACAACGAGGGACGACCGAGAGATGGATGGAGGAGGGTGAATGGGCGGAAGAGGATGGATTCGTTCTTGGTGCTCCTGACATCCGTTCAAAAAGAAGGAGATCCTCTGTGTCATGGCAAAAAAATTGATGAAAGACAGTGTGTCGCACCTTGTGAGGACGACAACCCTATTCACGGAAAAAATGTAATTCTCAACTTGCCAGTGGAATAGGAATGATGCTTCCCAGCCGGGCCCATAAGGACCTGTTTCTTGGAAAGAAAAAAAAAGATGTGGCTCAGTTGTGTGCCTGAGTGAATCTGCAGATGGATCAAGGAGCAACTGAACTGGGAAGTGCCAATATGGAACCTACCTGTGAATTGTGATTGTCCCAATCAGAATGGGAGTGCTGTGAACAGTCCAACTCCCCTATTAATCCAATGGGACTGTTGCTTCTCCGTTGGGAGCTCCATAAACATGATGAAGTTTGTCGAGTGTCCTGTCGTCAAAAGAGTTCCTGCTCGAGCTAGTGTCTTGTACACTGGGCATTCATAGACTCCTGACTGAGGAGGTTTCCGATTCTGCTCCGGCTTGAGCCAAACGATGGGCAGCTCGGAGTAGAGCTCTTTGGGATGGGATTCGTCCAAGGCATGGAAATCAAAGCTCCATCGAGCGCCCTCAAGGTATAGGCCTCGGATGTAGCACCCAATATCAGGTGGAGAGGGGGTGTTTTCGACAGTGCGATCATCAGAGACGACATGGTCAAAGCTGACAGTGTCAATTGGGTAAGAAAACCGCCTTGCGAAGTTCTGCAGCGTCCCAGTGAGGAATGCCTGAGGAAAGAAGAACCCCGAGATCCAGTAGACCGGAGGGGCGCCATTGGCAATCCAATGGGTGATGAAGCTGACTCTCTCCAGCACGTCAATAACCCAAGAGGAGAGTGGTTTAAGTGAGGGGTAGGCTTTCGTCCTCCAAACCTCTGGGACCTGGTTGTTGAATATGGAGTCACAGAGCATCTCGAGATCAGGTGACATGACAACCAAACCCTTGATGGCCTTGAGTGCATCTTGCAGAGTCTTCTTCATAACCTCGATTAGCCCATTGTAGCGAATACACTCCTGGGTGAGGACGGTATTCATCGACTCCTTGTACATTGTGGGGTACCTGAGCAAAACAGAATCCATGTCAAAAATGTGTGGGACTTTGCCCAGGATGTCCCTGCAGCTGCGCTCAATTATCTGGTCCCTGTTTGAACCGCTTGCCCCACCGACTGTGCGTGGCTGCAGTGAAAGGAGTGTGGTGAACAGCTCCAGGCTCTCATTTTGGTCGCAGGTAATGTCTGCATTTTCGTGGAGGCCGAATATCTCAGGGCGCGGAACAAGTGGGAGGTCCCGGATATAGTCCAAGAAGGCACTATGGTCGTTGGCATCTGGAGGCACGCGGTAGACACCAGACAAGGAGAAGGTGTGACCTGCAACCATGACAACATTCTCGTTGATGAAGATAAGCAAGAGGTTGTTTATCAGACGGCGGTCCTTGTCATCTGTGACTCGGCCCCCATAATTGATCTCTCCACATAGGAATCGAATAACCTTGTACGGGATTTCTGGGAATTCGTTCAGGAACATGCGGATCTGTGTGGTGCACACACTCAGGTCCCCGTCCGTAAACTCGTATCGAATATTCCATCCCAAGGGACCGAACTTGCGCCTCTCCTGCACTACTGCATGAAAGAGACACATACTGAAAAGTAGTCTCTTCCATTCGTCAGGCTTGGCACAATCATTCAGGTACTTGTCTGTGAACCGAAGGTAGGACCTCAGAAGGTTGGATCTGAGACCCTTGGGTGGTTCGAGCGTGAGCTTGACCCCATTCTGCAAGATGGTAGCTGGGAAATGGGGGCTGGGCATGCTGGTAAGCCATAGGCGGAAGTCCCTATGAACCTTCTCTGGTTCAATAGCCTGAATTATCCTCTCCAACATGGGCATCCAGCTAGGAGACAGGTGGCAGTTTTGCAGGCATACCCACATCCCTCTCTCCATTCCAGTCTGCAGCAGCTTCTCTGCCTTGGGCCCCTGCCCCTGACCTAGGGACACCTTCTCAAATTTCTTCGTAAATCTGAGATCATCTGCCAGCTTCAGCAGGTCGGCCATGGGGTCTGCACCGGAGGAGAGAACGAAAATAAGGGGAACAGAGGGATTTGAATCCTTGTAGCACGCATTCAAATTGTAAGGCGGTGGCTCTATGAACTTCCGTCCCAGATAATGCGTCACAAAATCCTGGATGGCCCGCCCACACCTGTCAACCCGGATGCAGCGGAGGAACAGAAGCTTCTGAAGTCTCGAGAGCTTCGTGTCCCACTCCCCCTGAAGTGGCTCCTTGTGAGCATCCCCACTGTCAAACACCACCCTGTAGGCATTTACATTCTCGGCAAAGTGGTCAGCAAACCCACGAAAGGACTCCAAGTTGGAAAGGCTGAGGATTTCAGACCAGATTTTTTCGGTCAACCACTGGGGTGCAGGATTTGGCCGATCGGTGGCCAAGGAAGTGGCTGTGGGTCCAGCGAGGAGGAAACGCAATTCTTCGGCAATGATCTCCCCCTTGTTCTGGAGAATGCGGACGCAGAGAGAAAAGGAGAACATGAGCTTGTGTTTCTCGAAAAGGGAGCGACAGACATTGACATAGAGGATAAAGGTGAAATAATCGTTAAGATTGAGAATGCGCTGCTCGATAATGGGGGAGTCCTCAGACTCGTCAATTGCTGTGCCAAAGAGAGTCATGAACCAGGACAAGCTGTACTGGTACATTGGATCAACCATCGAAAGATCGGAGATGCAGAAAAACAAGATGTATGCTCGGATTGCAACAGGGCGATAGACATCTCGTGTGATGTCTATCTCCTTCTCTGTCTTCTCTGACTCAGTGACCTTTTTAGCGATCTCATTGGACGTCTCCTTGGAGCGGGCCAAGGTATTGATCAGTGTCTCATCTTCTAGGATGTCACCCTGGGAGTTGGACAGAAGGAATAAAATCTTATCCTCTATCTCCTTGAGTTCCTTCTTCATCTTAGCATTGCTGACAACCAGAAAATTTTTCATCTCTGCAAGATCGGGCCGCTCCTTGGTGACGACTTGACCCAGCAGCTGATCCTCCAGCCCCTCTGACGTCACAAAGAAATTTAGGAGGGAAACCTTCACACTGACCTCTGGTGGATAATGAGGGTTCTGTAGTTTTGTGGTCATGAAGAACTGGAAGTCCGGATGGTATGGTATGATGTTGTCCCCAACCTTTATGACCTCAGTCCCACCTTGCTTGAAAGTTTGTCGCAGGAGGAGGGGCTCCAAGCCTGGATCAAGGGCCTCCTGGATGTTTTCCAGCAGCACAACCCTTCCGAACCGCACCCCGTTTTCCAAGGTCCTCAAGAAGTCCTTTTCCACAGGCTTAATCACGTCTAACCCAGTCTCCTTGAACATGTTTCTGATCCAGTTGTTGGCCTGGCTCTGCGGGTCAATCATGAGCGGCCACCGACGTGCCTTGGAGACGATGATGGCATTCTCAATGCTCACGACATCACTGGGAAGGCCAGCGATGTTCCATGCCCGGACCTTCACGGGATCCTGGAGGACGGCCCGCATCGTTGTCTCTGGGGTGTGGGGGAGCTCCTCCTCCTTGAGACGTGCCAGCCACTCGGACCCCATCCTCGTGCGATAGAGGGGGGTGAAAGGTCCTATGTAGGCAATGGCACCAGCAGCGATGACCACATCGCCTATCACATTGTCCATGTCCTTCGCAATGGACTGGATGATGTTCGTCCACCGCACTTTCTCCCCCCCCAACCCTCCAATCAGCTTCTCTGCTCGCTCCAGCTTAATCTGGCACTCCTTTGCTTGTTGTGCGAGGTCAGCCCTCTTCTTGACGGCAGCCTCCAGCTGAGCCTCCAATGATGCAATCTTCTCCTCCACCTCCTTCAGCCTGTTCTGGGCAGATGTAAGGGCCTTCATGGTGACATCAAGCCGTGCTTGCGCCTCTGCCAGCTGTGCCCGCTTGGGCGCCACCATCTTTAGAACATAATAGTAAGCGTGCATCGCCCTAACCCACATGCAGATCGAGGTGCAGGCCTTCGACACACGTGCCACCTGCTCAGGCGTGAATGCCTCCATCTCAATGTACGGCTCAATCTTCTGGATGATGGCTTCTGGTATGTTGTCCCTGTCATACAGCAGCAGCGAGTCCAGGAACTTGGTAGGGTCGGTAAGCAGTTTCTGTGAGGGCTCCCAGAAGTCAGCAATCTTCTTACCCAGTTTTGAGGGGTCGGCAACCATCTTGGGCGGCTGATTCAGCATGATGCATGCTGCCTCCATAACCAGCTTCACACCCTCAGGAGGGTTCCTCAAGCTCTTCACCTCCACAATGTCATTTCTTGTGAGATTCTTGAGGGAAGACAAGGCAGCATCCAGCGCTGGCAGTGCCTGGTCGAGGTCTTGTTGGGCGCTGTCAGCAATTGCCTTGGCCTGGGCAGCCTGCTCATTGGCCTCTGTCTCCTGCTTTGAGACTGTTTCGCGGGTGACGTCGGCTTCCTTCTTGTCAAGGGTGATTGCTACCATCATTTCTTCTGCTTCCCTTGCTGTCTGCTCCAGAATTGGTTGCAGCTTCACCAGCTCGTCCTGCATGACACCCACCTCCTTCGCCGCCACCAGCAGCTTCTCCAGCCCCTTCTCCAGCCTCTGCCCCAGTGCCTCCAGCTCTGCCTTCTTCTCTGCCACAAGCTTTGTGAAGGTGCTCAGGAGCTCCAGGTAGCTAGTGGGTGTCACATAGTTGTACCTCCTCAGCTCCTCAAAGTACCTCCTCGAGTGCCACTCCACAGACTGGTGAATAAAGACAAACATGTTGACAATGGGCGTGATGTGGTGCTCTGATACGACGCTCACATCGGCAAGAAAGTTTTCTGCAACCGACCTCAGTGCTTCGTTCGGCCACTCGCTGAACCAGTCAATTGTACAGCAGTTGACAAGGGACGGAAACATCCTTAGGCGCGTTCGGAAGGCATCGCCGATGGGGCTCATGGCAATGACTACATGCAGGTTGTTGCGTACCCGCTTCACGAACTGACTGTAAAGGGACATCTTTGTGATAGGCAGGCCTTGCTGCAGGAGAAGAGGCCTCATCCCATTCGATATCTGCTCCAGTTCCTCGTTTTTCCACAGGTTGGGGACCTCACCGGCGTTGAGGATATTATTGATGTCCTCAAGGAAGCTCTCATGGATGATCTGTGTGTCAACAAACAGAAAGACCTCCTCCTTCCCTTCCAAACCAGCATTCATAAGCAGTCGCCTCATGTCATCCTTCCACTCCGTCATTCCATAGTTCTTGGATACCTCTATCTGAAACAGCTCGAATTCCTCCATGAACGTCGCCATCTTCGTCAAACTGTGACGCCCGCTGCCACCTACACCCAGGAGGAGAGCATTCCCCAGGGGGAGGCGAATCACCCGGCAAATCCGTGAGATGTGCTCAATGGCGTCCAGGAACAGCACCAGCTTCATGGGTGCATTGGAGACGCTGTTGTAGTCATCCAGGTACTCGTTCATTATCTGGACAAGCTGCTTCAGATCTGTGATCTGCTGGTACACTTTGGGATCTGCACCAGGGATCATGTAGTCCCCATATATGAGCCGTTCATGCTGGACGACGTCCTCCCAGCGCACCTTGCACTGGTCCTGCAGCTGCGATTCCAGAAGTGCCCGGAACCATTGTCTGTCATCCTCATTTATCAGGCGATCTTCAAACACCCGCGTGGCCTCATGAAGCCAGAGGGCAATCAGGTCCCGAGGCTCAGTGCAGAGCCGTGGGTCGGCCCTTAGGAGTCCCTGGATAACCTTGCTCAGATCCCGCAGGTTGAAGGTGTAATGGGACTTACTTGGGGTTGGTAGAAGCTCCCTGCGTATGGTGGAAAACAAATTAATGGACCCTGTGACGATGGCCTGACCTATGCTGCGCATATTGTCCTCGAACCGCTTCTCAAGTGTGGCCTGCAGTATGGTCGAAAAAATTCGGAGGAGGCTCTCCTCAGACAACTCTGTAAAGGACAAGAACGAAAAGTGGCGAAGCAGGCGCATGGTGACAGGGTTCCTACCTCCCCCTGGGGGACCCATGCAGCCTACGAACTGTATGTCAACTACCTGGCGGAATGCGCACGGAGGTTTGCGGTCATACCATCCATGGTGATCCATCCACTGCCTGAGCAGCTCGATGGGTGGCTGGGCAAAGTACTTCTCCCTCTGTGGCATGTTGAGGTCATCCACAAAGATGACATACCGCTTTCCAGTGGGAGGCCCGTATACACCTTTTCGCCGCTTGTCCATTTTGGAGTCTATGAAGTCCTGCGTCTGGTTGGCACTGGTTCTGGCAGAGAATGTCAGAAAGATGGGCAACATGTCCGCATCGAGCTTGTTTAGCAGCTTGTCACTGACGTTCAGTGACTTGCCTGTTCCTGTCTCCCCCACGCACAGCACATGATTCCTGTTCCGTAGGAGCACGTCAATCACATACGTGTATCGAATGGTATCTGTGGTTGGGACAATGATCTCTGCAAACGGCCTATCAGGATTACATTTGTATTCTGAGATGGTGGACATCCAGTGCACCCATTTCAAAGTCTCATGATCGAAACAATAGGAATAAACATCCCAATCCGGAGGTATAGGTCTTTCCAGAGCCACCACCTGCTCGAATGTTGTGTTGCGCATGAAGGCGTCAAATTTGACGCGTCCATCCTTGTCGCAGCTGGCACCAATCGACCACACAATTGAAAAGATAAAGAGGGGCTCGATGAGGCTCGGAATCCTAGCTACCTCCTCCTCATTCAAAGGTAGCTGGGTGTCTGCCCGGTTATACGTCAGCATCATTGCATCCATGACGTTAAAGCAGGAAAGCAAGAGGCTATTGTCTGTAGTTGCCACAGTCTCGCGTAGGGACTTACGCACCAAGTGGAGGGCTTCAGGTACAATTGCATCAAAAATGGCCCTGATCTTATCTGCATGGGGTTTCAGGATCTTCGACATGCGCTCTATCCAGGACCGGAGGAATGCGTCTAGTCCCAATGATGCAGGTTCCAGGTACACCATCCCACAACGGCTGACTGTCGCTGGGGAGGCCACTGCCAGGTCCTCCACCTCAAACATCATGGTCATCAAAGGAGACATCTGGATGATCTCCCCACTGACAAGGCAGAGCTTCTTATTGTCATCCAGGACAGTGTTCATGCTCTCAATCCATACTGCGTCCACCGGTCCATCAAACATGAGCCATTTCTTGTCCGGGCGGTTGTCATCTGCCAGGTCGCGCATGTAGCATGCCAAGACACCGTCCGTCCACTCATGTGTGTTCTCATCAAATTCACCATACAGCTGCCCTAAGGTGATGGACTTGGGGTTCAAGCACACGACGCGCACTGAGGCATACTTCTTTGAACCCTCCTTGCTCAGCTTGGTCATGGCCGTGGCGAGTGACCGATAGCAGCAGGTCTTCCCTCCACCTGTGGGGCCGACAAGCATGAGCCCGTGCCGGACTGTTGTGGTTTCATACAGTTGTATTACTTTGGTGACAAATGATTCCTCCGGTTGGATATTGAGCTTCTGGCAGGAAAACCCAATAGCCCCAATGAGGTCATCGTACCTGATGGTTGGTGGCTTCACACCAGGAAACAGGTCACTGATGATGCCTGCAAAAAGTGGGAGATCTTGGGACAGGAACTTGGGGACATTGACATCGCGGAGTCCACGCAGCAGCAGCACATCCTCATTATCGAAGGGGTAGTCTCTCTTGAGGTTCCCTGCAGCCACAATCACACTTTTGACTGCTCGCATGCCATAGTCATAATGGTCCTGAGATGACAGCTGCTCGCTGCAGAGCTTGAAGGTGGCCACCATTTTTCGGGCCAGTTCTTTGGCCTTCTGAAACCCAAAGGAGAACAGACTGATTTCTGCAATGAGGGCATAATCAGGGACCATCATGGCACATGGTCGGAAAAGGGCCTTAAGATTGTCGGGGAGCTCTGTTCGGCCGGCGTAGCCTGGGTTCATGGTGATAAAGACAGAGCAGGACATGTCGAGGGGGATCTCCGTGTCTTCAAAAACGAATCGCTTGAGCCGCTGCTGAATTGCCAGCTGTATGGTCAGGATCTGCTGTGCCACGACAGACAGTACCTCTAGGTCTATCCGATTGAACTCATCAAAGCACGCCCACGCCCCTGCTGATGCCAGGCCCTTGAAGAACTTCCCCATTGCCAGGTAATCCAGCCCATCTGAGCAGTTGAACACCACACACTGTTTGGCCAGCGCCTTTGCCAGATCCTTGGTTGTTTCTGTCTTGCCTGTGCCGGCTGGCCCAGCTGGTGCGCCTCCCAAGTTCAGGTGAAGGGCGCCCATGAGGGTCATATAGCAGCGGTCAGTAAGCGGGGTGATTACCAGACGAGCGGTGTTCCCCAGGTACTCGTATCCGTAAGCAATCGATGCCTGGACCATCTTCACAAACACATTCTCAGATTCCCAGTAGTAACGAAGCTGGCTCACCCACTCGAAGTCGGTCACAGTGGCAACCCTTTCCTCCAGTAGCCGTTGCACTACGTCCCTGGCGTGCACATCAATCACGATTAGTGCACCGAGTGTCAGTCTTGCCAGCTTTGACAGATCCCCACGGACGAGCTCTGTCAGGCCCATTAGCTGCTTCAGCTGGGTTGTCTCCAAATATGTCTGCAGCACCCCCTCTGCGATGGCCCCCTCCACACCAGCTGTCCAGTAGATCTGGCTTACACACAACACTATCATCGACTGCCATGTCTTGACCCAATCGTTTCGCTTACGCACCTGGTAATCCCTGAGTGCAGACAGCACTTGATTTTTCACACTCTCCTTCATCTTCTTTTCAACCTCGTTGAGCCAGTTCTCTACATTGCCCACAGGGTACATGGTCTTTGCAAGCGGGACCTTCTCCCCTTCGGCAGAGTTCATAGCGATGATCTCCATATCCTCCCTGAAGTCTAGGCTTTGGATGGCCTCAAAACACTTGCGCAGGTGTGGCTGCACGGCCAACGGATTCTTTGCCTGGGACAGTATCTGGAGCAGCTCATCGTTGGACAAGAAGAAGAAACGGCTAAACGCCATGCGCTTCGTCTCAAGGTAATCTGCCAGCCCTTTCTGCACCAGGTCCAACGTCTTGTTGGCGTCCCTGAAGGTTTCCAGGAGCTTTTGGCTCGAGCAGATGGTCAAGATGTGTGGTGCCATTCGGGCCTGACCACAAACCTTCCTCCATGTTCGGTCTACCGTCAAGAAACGTTTGCCTTCCAGAGGTAGCTGATGCTGGATGTCCGGGCTGCTGAAGATCGGTTCCAGGTACATCCACTGCCTCTGCAATGTCATCCACTCATCCATGATCTCTGATACCAAGTTGAGCTGTATTTCCCACTGGGCGATGCGTTCCTCGAATGGTTTCTTGAACGGCGAGAAGGACATCGACTGTGTTATGATGACGTGGTCATCCAGAAGCTGGCTTACAGCATCATCCAGCTTGACAATATAGGTTCCTGTCTCCCGGTAGTCGAGCACCTGCAGCTCGAGCGTCTTCCATTCATTCTGCATCTTCTCCAGACTACTCTCGATGGCAAACTCCTTGCCCGCTACCTCTGATACTCTTGTGATCTGTGGAAGGTATGCGGGTAGCCCCGCTTCAATTGCTTGGGTTAGCGTGAACTCCGGGTCCAAACGCACCTGCATTTTCAGTTCCTTAGAGAGCTGTTCCCAATGCCGGTCCCTCATCCCAGGCTGTCGGAGGGCCTGGATGAGAGGGACATATGGCTTGAACTTCTCCACCTGTTTCCGCACCTCCTCACAGTTGTTCGCGCAGGCCATCAATTCCTTTCCTTGGAAGAACCTCCCCGTCTTCAGCAATGTCTTAAGCCAGACGCCCACGTTCTTCTCGATCTCATCTGGCTTCAGAGTGACCAGAGGATCCTGGTTCCAGCTTTTGTCTGCATGCTTCCAGTCGCTGGCAATCGTCCACAGCTGCAAGTAGGGATCAAATGCCTCACGTATCTTCTTCAACCGGCTGTAATCCGTGGGCTGAACGTTGAAGAGTGCCTCCCTCGAGTTGAACAGTCTCGCATCCATGTCTGCCTTTCGCAGCTGCTCGCTGATCTTCCGGACCTCTGACGCCACGAAGTCCACTTGTGCCAGGTCTATATACTGATCGAAGGCCGATACAACAGAGTCCAGGTCCATCAGTGTGGTGACAAAGTTCTCCTGCTCTGCATCCATCTCCTTCTGGTACCTCTCGTTGTCGGCGGTCAGTATCTTTTCTGTCCGTTCGATGAGTTTTTCAATCCGGGTGGGGAGAGCTCGACAGGTCCACTTGATCGCTGTCTCACTGTCAGTGAGCAGGTGGTTGAGTCCCTCTAATGCCTCATAGTAAACCTTGGAATTCTCAATCTCCTGCTTGATCTCATTCATCTTGGCGGGCAGGGTAACGATGTACTCCTTCTGGGCTGCAACCTCCTCAGGGGAGCTTGTCCTCACTTTCAGCTGCTTCTCGATCTCCTCAAACTTCCCAAGGATCTCGAGTCCGATCCTTTTAGGGGTGGTGGAGATCAAACCAGTCACAATGTCAATCATCTGCTCTTTCTTCTGGATCAGCATTCCGCGGATCTTCTTGCTCGTAATGTAAAATGGACCCACAGTGATGGTGACGGGTATCCGCTTCTCCACTTCCTCAAGTTCTGCCTTGTGTCTGTCAATCTCTCCCAGCAATTCCTTCAAGGTTGGCTTCCTCGCCTCGAGCTCGGATTTGCTGGCAACAATGTCCAGACGCAGCAGCGGCTCGAAGTCCGAATACTTCTCCAGGTACTCGTAGCCATACGCGACTGCAATTCGGATGGCAGCTTGGATACGTGACCGAAGCGCACACACTTCTGGCTCCATTGAATGGACGGCCCCAATCATCGGCTGGTGACTCCAGAAGAGGTTCTCCATGATGCTTGGCTCGAGGTTAGGGATAGACTGCAGGCACATGATAGCATGGTCAAATGTCTTTAGCAGCATCTGCTCAAAGAGGTGCAGAGGGGTGCTGTAGTCGAAACGACCAGTGGTCTCTGAGTTTATCATTTCCAATGAGAACAGAGGAATCAGTTTCCTGGAGCTTGCCACAGCCTTGGTAGAGGAGGTAGTCGAGGAACTGCTAAGGTCCTCCCCCATAAGAACGTCATTTGTGCCCTTTATGATGACAGCAGCGGAGGAGCAATTCCTTTCGATGAACTCAGTGTACCTTTCCAGGGAGTCCATTGTCAGGACGCGTACGGCATCTTCCATAAGAAACCGCACCAAGCGGAGGAAGCGACGGAGCTTGCTCCCTTCGTAAGTCTCTCGGTTACGCTCCTGCAGATTGAACCAACCCTTTCCGACATCCTTGAAGGACATCCTTATGATGTTCCTCAAACCCGTGGCCCAGCTGTCCTTCAGCTGAGTGGCAACCTGATCGCTTGTTTGTATCTGCATCTGGTCATATTCATCCAGACGCGAGGCTTTGGTGTGGTGGACGCCGAAAAGAGTCAATTTCATGATCCGGTTGCACTCCGCACGGACCCTCACCAGAGATGAGATGACCTCTGGCTTGGTGAGGCAGGAGTGGAAGGAAAAATCACTGAATCGCTCTCCATAGTCATAGTCTGCCATCGGAACCATCCCCTTCTCAGGCGGTGGTGGCTTTGGGTCCTGTACAAATTCATCATCGATAGGGACGATCAAGTCCTTGGGCGGAACACGCCGCAGGACACTTTCTGCAAAAACGATTCGGTTGATTGCTCGGGCATACTCCATGTTCACCTCCGCCACCAGCTGCGATGTGTCCAGCATCTTATCGCTCAGCTTCCGTGGGCTCAGCGCAGAACCCAGCATCCGATTCACCTGCTCCGACGTCAGTGGGGGAATACCATCCGTTGGCATGCTGTCCACATACAAGTTGTATATCAGCTCCGCCTCTGCTCTTGCCCTCAGCCGATAAGCCTCCGCCACCCGTTTTGCAAACAGAAATGGATCCTCCGCACAAAAGTGTACGTTTATCCTTGGAAGCCATACCCTATCTCCAGCATGGTCAAACTGGACAAGGTATAGATTTCCACCCTCAATAAAGTCGAGGACCCGACAAGGAAGCCATCGACATCTCTTATCCTCATCCACATGAGCTGCCTCAGCAGGAACCTTGCAGATGCGGTCTACCCACTCCGAATGCCTTCGTGTCTCAAAATCTGTGTTGTCAAATGCCGACAACGGCAGTTTCCCCCTCCTGCTAACCACCGGCCGGGGCGAAGCTGGCGTTCCAAATCCCACACTGGTGGGGGGAAGGACCTTTCCAGGTTCCACTAGGTCTGAACCTTGAGCGGGCACATCCTCTTGCGTCAGAAGAGTGGGCATATCCTGCTTGCCAAATAGCCGCCTTTTCCTCTCCACCTGGACTCTCCATGGCACCTCCCCGGGCCGAGTAACATATGGGGCCATTACCTTTGGCTCCAGAATGTTTGGAACATGTCTTGAGTTGTTATCCTCCTTTGAGCCAGGTAGGCGTTCCAGCTCCATCTTCCTTATGTCTTCAGCTCCCATGCTGCTGCTCATAGTCATTGAGCGCTTCCTGACAGGCTCTCCGTCTCCTGGCGAACCCTTCGGAGGATTTGTGATGCTGGTTCCCTTTTCTGCTTCAGATCGTGAGCTGACGGAACGGGCCTTCGGTTTGGGCTGCTGAGGGCGACCAACTTGGGCTCCCGTGTCGATCTCCATTTTCGTCGGACCAGACATGATGGACTCTACCACAGTTCACAAACTTGCTGCAGATTGACTTACCGTGAGGGCGCACGGGTGTGCAGCAGAGCTCGCAAAACTTTGTGTTCTATGAACCAGATCCAGACTGGATTTGCTTTTCAAAAAATTCTCTAACCAGATCCGAACTGGACCTGGGCTGCAAACAATTTTCCAGCTGTATCCAACCCAGATATGTTTTGGGGAATTTTCCCACCTGTGCCCGACCCAGCCGGGAACGCAAAAAGTGCTCACCCGCATCCGACCCGTCCAGGACCCACACGACATCCACCCGTGGCCCGCCCAGACCCGCCCATGCCCGACCCATGACGTAGCCGCGCCTGCCCGTGCCCCCATTTTTCCCACCCATGCCCCATACCTACCCTCCCACCCATAGTATTACACAGGCATGCTTTGTAAGTGTCCTTTACATTTTCCAGCCATCCATTTAAAATCAGACATTTGCAAACTTTTTCTGAATGAGCAACTTACAACGTTTGCCCCCCCCCAAAAAAAAAAAGAAAAAGGAAAAAAGAGCAACTTGAAGAAAACCCGAAACACGATAAACTCGAGACCGAGGCAAACGAAGTCATTCAACCATATTGCCGCCAGCCACGACTGCAATAGTCTCATCTACAAAAGAAAAACCCTTCAAATCCACAGGAAGTCGCTACTACCTAACACTTGCTAACAACCATTCAAGAGTCGGCATAAACAAATGCAGCTGCAGCTGGAAGTCTGCATACGTAGAGGAGCCTTGCCACCGGGCCATATTTGCACATATCGTCGATATCGAAGAAAAATCTGAAAAAATTACAAATGTAATTTTATGAGACTTTATGAGTCAATTATGACAATATATTAAATGTATTCAAATAATTCAATTCTATTCATGTGTATGTTTCTTTAATTTGTTAAGCGGCATGGTTCAGGTCACCCAACGAATTTTCCACCCCGCTGCGGCCCGTAACTGGGCTATCCTACCACCCTGGCTGGCCCAGGAAGGTCTGCCTCAGTGAGAGTTGCACCTGGACCAGGCCCGTCCGTTGCGGCCATGGCCACCTGATTTCTGGCTCTGGTGCACAGCCTGTAGTTTGTATGTTGAACTGTCGATGTGGTTGTCCCATTTACTGGTACCATTCACTGGTACCGCTCGTAGAACTCCTTCTGGTACCTCTCCTGGAGCTGTTTATTGTCCTGTTACTACCGTCTTCACCCAAATAGAACGGACTGTCATTTTCGCTGCATCAGGACTGACAGTTGGGTCAAATACATCACACATAATGACCGTACGTTCTATTTGGGGGAAGACGGTACTGGGTAAGGCCTCTATCAGAAATTCTTGCCCGGCGTAGACCACTCGGACTGGTGCAGACAGAAGTGTATTTCAAGATTAGTTGCAGTGAGTGCCAAAGGCAGTTATCTTGTATAAGGAGGAAGGGAATGGTGTCTCTCTCCTGAACTAGTGTACTGGGTTCGGTTACATGTTCCTAGGCAGTTGGAAAAGCCAGGTTCAGTCACCCGGAGCTTACACATGGCTATGTGTGCGAGGAAGGGAATGGTGGTGCTCTTCTGATCTAGCAGTTTGAGGGAGGAGCATTAACTGGGGGGCTCAGTGGCATGATGGAAACCTACTCAGCCGCATGAACTGGGTTCAGTTGCATGACGCTGATCAGTTACATAAACCAGGTTCAGTCGCACCGAGCTTGGCAGTTGAGTGTGCTAGGTTTTGTTTCACACATCTGATTGGTACAACAGGAGGTCCCTGGTACTTCGGTACACCTTGGTTTTCGCAGCGTTAGTGCCAACTGCAGTCTCTGGCAAACAGGCAGGAACATATGCATCTTGTCCATGTTTAGGTCCACATTCGAGATGCCGCTAACTCAGTGTTTTCATGCCTGGCCAGGCAAGTCCAAGGGACAACAACAACCCACAACACATCAGCTTCGGCGACAAGGACAAGACGGGAATCAGCTCCTGCAAACAATCTTCCAGCTCAGCAGGTGTGTTCAGACAGCACACAGCTCTGTCCAGCTTTCTCCAGGCTTTTGCTCTTCAAGCAAAGGCTGACATTCGACTAGCCTATGACTGGAAGACTGGGTAGATGAAGGGAGTAACAGGGGGGAAAGGAGAAGGGTAGTAAGAGGACTTCTACCAGAAAATTGAGAGAGAGACCACTGTGTACCACAAGAGACGCTGGACCTGATTTCCAGCAGGTGGGATGGAAGAACCGAAACGAAGCTGCTGGTAGAAGACAGAGATAGATATATGTCAATGGCAGACGATTTGACAGTCGATTTGACAGTCCTGATTCGGGCATCCGACTCATCCTTTAAATCATTGGCCAAAGCAATGTTTGCAGACGATTTGACAGTCCTGATTCGGGCATCCGACTCATCCTTTAAATCATTGGCCAAAGCAATGGAGGCTCTCAGACTAGCGTCTGAGATGAGGATAAACTGGAAAAAGACGATTGGGTGGTGGCTTTCAGACAAGGATCTCCCAGTCCTCCAGGGCCCTGAGTCGACTATGACATGGGATACACCAGAAACACCCACCCGCTACCTGGGTATCTTGATGACTAGGGAGGGTTTAGCTCCTCAGATGGCACAAAACATCCTAACCAAACAAATAAACAAGTTAGGGAGATGGGGGAATGTCTTCACCTCACTAATCGGTAGGGCCCTTGTACTTAATACCTCGGTGTTCTCGATGATGTGGTACATTGCTTCGATATGGACAATACCAGATAGCTCACTAAAGGAATTGAACAGCTTAGCTAGGAACTACCTATGGTCAGGGAACCCCAATAAAAGGACCAGCATACCCAAGATTGCATGGCAGTACATCACGAGGAAACCGCTCTATGGGGGCTTGGGTATCTTCGACCCTAAGTCTGAGACAAAAGCCCTCCAAATCAAATGGGTAATCAAATTGTTGATGAAACCTGACAGCCCATGGAACAAACTGGCACTCAACAGCATCAGGGCTCTGGCACCTGTAACATCTCCCAAAAACATGGCTGGGCTGTTCTGGATGATGACTAGGGAACGGAAGCTCAAAACAGGAAGGAGAAGGCAGAGAGGTATACCAACACAAGATGCGGGCAGATGCACCATCCCTTATTGGTCGACCCTGATCCGGATATGGAGAGAAATTCTCCCAAAAAGGGTGAACAGGCCAAGGTCCGTAGATGAAGTCCTAAGACAACCACTTTTTGGTAACAGCTGAGTGACTGACGAGGGAAATAATCCCCTTGTCTTAGAACAGAGATGGCTCTCTTGGGTCAAAAACGGGGTATGGACAGTCGGTCATCTATGGAAGGCAGAAAGAAAGGAGTGGATAAATGAGCAAGAACTGAACGGGCTCCTGAAGGGCTGTCATAAAAGAGGATCCAACTTTCGCTATATTATTGATAGAATCCCTTCAAATTGGAAAGATATCCTAAAAGAGGCCATACCGTGGAAGTCTGGGGAGTGGGGACTTAAAGTGCAAGAATGCCCCCCCTCAAGAGCCTTTCAATTCTCTCATATGCACCCGGGATCGACCACACAGGCTGTCTTTTCGGCCTTTCCGATCTCATCGTCGCTCCAAGGCATGCCATTGATAATAAACAAGGATGTGGAGACGGTAATTATGGAGGTCTATCTACTCAGGAAAATAAGAGTGCTAGGTCAATGGCCAAAACAGATCTTTAGACCAGATACGGCAGTGAGGAACCTGGAATTCGACCCAGCTGAATGGGATTGGATACCAGACAAAGACAGGAATATCAAGTCTACGGTCCCGATATACGAATGCTCAGTTAAGTCCGGGTATAAACTTTTGACTAAAACAAAAGATCCCGCTCTGGTAATCAGAAACAGATGGCAGAAATTATTAGGACAGGAAGCTGACAACCTCTCCCAGATCCCCTGGAAAAAGTACAAAACGATAAAACCAATCAAAATCAGAAGCCTTCAGTGGCTTACTACATATGCTGCACTCCCGGTTAATAAATGGTTACATACAAGATGTCATAAGAACGATCCAAGCAGCTCGGACTTATGCATTGTTTGCACAGAAGGGTGTCAGGAAGACATAGTACATTGCCTACTCTACTGCAGTGAAGCTACGGAATACTGGGCACGGGCATCAGCTCTATGGGACTCTCTCTTCAGAACACCCTTCCCCGAACATCCTATCCAACTTCTTCTCTAGACTAACCTCCCTGACCATCTCAAGAAGACAGAACGGCTGTGGTTTGGATTGATTAGGAAGGTGACACTGTGGGTCATTTGGAAGGAAAGATGCGGCAGAACCATTGAAGGCCTCTCCACTCCGCGAGAAAAGGTGTGGACGGAAACAAAAACTTTATTGCAGGCAGAAATCCGGAGCAGGTGGTTGAGGCAGAAGCGGTCGTTGCCGGAGGACGAGGACCTACAAGATAAGGCCAGAAAGAGATTCAGCAGGCTATGGTTGCTGGAAGGCAAGGTGGCGGAACTTCGAGATGATAGGTTACTCTGGAAAGACTGGCATAATTCAGAATCCAGTGGGAGGAATCAGATGGCAACAGTATTGGAAAGACATATGAGCTAAGCGAAACATGGTACACCCAAAGAGGAAATAATACCTCCTAAGCGAGGGGTAGGGTTTAGGGTTTAGGGTTTTTAGTAAAATTCAAAAGAAAGGGGAACGCTTAAGGGGATAGGGAATACCGTGACTTACGGGCAGGGCTGATGAGTGGGGAAGCACAGGCAAGCAGAAATAATGGGCGAGCTCTTTCTTGGTAATATGGTACTATCTTGCAGAGCTGGTTTTTCAGGTCTGAGAGGAAAGAGTGAGTCATGGCAAGCTGACAGTCAATCCTCGACCAATGGTGGAGTAATCAATGTTGTTCAGGGTCCTTCGGCCAAACGGGAGGAAGCGTGAGTTTCTGCTGTAATGTAATGTGTTTTCTGACTTGCCGGTGGAATAGGAACCGGACTGATGCCCAGTACTGCGAACATCGCTGTCTAAAGCTTTTGCCCTGGTGGCGAGGAGGCTCGCGACAAAGAGGAAGGAAAGAGAAGAGGAACTGACGCGAGCAATAGAGATAGCAGAGCGCAATACTATTCTCAGGCCAGGGGACGAAATGTATGAAAGAACATTAGAGACGGCAAAAGAAGAGATGAGGGAGTGGCAGCGCTGGAAAATGAAAGGATTAAGAATGAGAGCTAAAATCAAAGAATGGGAGGAAGGGGAGAGAATGACCAAATTTTTCTTCCAAAAAATCAAGACCAGGGGCAGAAACAATCTCATAGAAAGCTTAGAAGGGGAAGGGGGG